GGCGCAGGGCTCTCCTGCGGCACAGGGAGGGGGGGGCACAGGTCAGAGCATCCCAGGGGATGGGGACCCCCAACCTCCCTGCGCATCACGGTGAGGGGTCCTTGGCCCTGCAGGGACCCCACAGCACCCCCACCGCGGTTCCAGCCCTGCAGGGACCTCCCCGACCCCTTCCACGCAGTCCTGGGAGACTCAGCACCTCTCCACGGGGGGGACCTGGCCCCTCAGGAAACCCCCTGCACCACCCCGCAATCACGGGTGGACCTACAGGGACCCCCACGCACCTCTCCACGTGATCACACTCGGTCCCAAAGGGTCCCCTCCTGCACCCTCACATAGCCACAGCCTTGCAGGTACCCCAATACCCCTCTCCCGGGGGTCACAGCCCTGGGGGGACGCCCGCACCCCGCTGACCTGTCTGAGCAGCGTCAGGAGGTCCAGCTCGCCCTTGAGGCTGTACCCCGGCAGCACTGCGTCGAACTGCTTCAGCCACTCGGAGCTGCTGTCCGGCACCTTCCCGGCCAGCGCCGCCTTCTCCTTGCCACCGAGCACCCCTGCAAGAGAGAGAGACGGCCCATCACGGGGCGCCCGGCCCGGGGACACAGGGGAGCCCGCGGGGACGAGGCAGACGCTCACCAGCCATGTCTGTCTCCACCTTCTTGGCCTCGACCACGGCCGCTCGCACGGGGCCATCCGGGAACAGCACCTCGTAGGAGCTGGGGATCTTCACGCTCAGCAGCTCCGCCATGGCCACCATCACCCCGTTGAGGTTCTGGGCGAGAGGAGGACGTGATGGGTCCGGGGCCCCGGATATCACCATGCGGGGTCACCGCTGGGACCCCAAGGGTCTCGCCTCCCTCCGTCCCCTCACTCACCTTGGCAGCTGCGGCGGACACTGTCAGCATGACGGAGACCTCGCTGCTCTTGCCCTTCTCCCATGGGGCGCCTGGGCCTGCCACCCCCACCTTCCCAGGGGGGGCCCCGAAGGGCTCCGGGGCCTCGTAGGGCTTCGTGTCGGGGAACACTGGCATGGGGAGAGGCCCCCCCTACCGACAGCCACCCGTGAGCCCCCC